CACACATCAATTATTTGGAACTTCAAACATGCAAATCCACACACAAACACAGAAAAGCCTTGTAACTGATTCCGCAGGAGCATTGAGAACTGTGGATAATTGCTAGCACCATTGTGCTGCTCTTCAATGGGCTGGTTACCCAAGAAGCCTCATGTTCGTGTTCATGTACATTTGCTTTGAAGGTGGCAGGCACAAAGAGCTGAGCCCTGCCCAGAACAAAGCCCTGGGAGACCCCGCTTCACCCATAGACGTCTTTCATGGAGGGAACCACAGACAGAAATGATCTTCTTCCATGTGACAGTGTGTATGCACTGCGTGTGCAACAGTTTCAGCGTGTGTATGTGCAGGTGCACGTGCTTTAAGGGAGGGGCTGCTTGTCATCATTCAAACCACAGGATGTATTTTGTCAAAATAGTTTAACACCTCTTCTTTAGAAGATGTAAAGCCCTCAGCTTTGGGACCCTCTCAGAATAAGGGGGGGTCGCAAGTTTCGCAAAAGTTTTGTCTCTGTAATTGTCACAAATTTTGAATTAATTCAGTCATTTGGTAACCAACTTAAGCAGTTCAAAGTTTGATGTACTTATCTTTTGGATTAAGTTGATGTCATTATGATCAGCCATAGTCACTTCTGCAGTAAATAAGCAGATATTTTATCCAGTTTAACTAAACATGTATCCACTTTCATACAGTCCCTTTGTGTGACAGCAAAGAATCTTTGTGTTGAATTGAACATGCGAACATATCTGACAACTCTAATAATAGATATAAATTGGTAAACAGCAGTAAGTAGATGTAAACTGAAAATTAACTTTTACAAAATGTACAGTAGAATGATTTAATCATTATATTACTTTTTTTAAATATAAGAACTTGTGTTAAAGTTAAACAGTAAATGGACTGATTATTGCAGATATTGCATGGTTTGAGCTGGGAACTGCTTTAATGTCTGACTCACATGTGTCCTGATCACCTCCTCAGCTAAACTGACCAGTTTGAGCTGATCGCCTCAGGGTGCTGCTTTAGAGCAGATAAAGTGAAGAGGAACAGAACTAAAGGCTCATTCCTGCTGTAATGAGACTGCTTGATTTGCACACGAAAACACTTGCGTTTTACTGTAAACCCCATCTGCAAACCAAGTGTATTTTACAGGACAATACAATTTAAAATCAAGTTAAATATTGGTTACTCAAACACATTTTATATATAATAATTTTGATTACACGTATTAATAAGCTGACATTCTTAAGGCTTGATGATTTTACAGGCTAAATATTCATTTGTACACATTATTGTCAAATGACATTTGGCAAGTTCCTCTGTTACAGACATGGAGACCTGTGCTCATCAGAATCCAGTGTCCATTTTGCTTTCATTATCTGTATGATCTGGCTCCCATTTCCCCAGTAATTTCAACATTACACACTTTGCTACAATTCCCTAGACTGCGTGCCACAGTGCACTACCAAGGAAACTCATTAACAATTTATAGCATCGCTGAGTTGGAGCATGCAGTGCAACAGGTGCTCATTGCATCACAGCTGCACTGTGTGTGTTTGTGTGATCACTTTACGCTACAGTAAATATAATGCAGAGCTGTGGAGGCTAATGAGAGGCTAAGTTTTTTAGAGTCATTTAAGGGAAAGATAAAACAAAGGGGTACTTACTGAAACTGTCAACCTGAAGAGCACATTATAGTTATCTGAATTTAAATGAACCATGTACACTGATCTGAACATACTCAAGTTATCAAGCTGTAAGGCTTTATCTGTCTGTCTGTCGCTTACTCTTACACCCATCATGTCCCCCGTTGCCGTTGCCTCCACTCTCTCTTCTCCCCTCCCTCCCACTCATTATTCTGTCTCTATCTGCCCATGGTGTCCTCACTCGCCACCCTCTCCCGCTCTCTCTCTCTCTGGGACAGCAGATGGAGACTATGGCCCAGTTCTGCCTTTTGTTCTGGGTCCCCAGAGAGACCTGTGGCTTTTTTGGACAGCACACAGCTCGGCTCCCCATATCTCATACAAAATGCAAGCGCCTTTCTTTTCATTAAAAAAGGAAGCAGCGGAATGCACACTTTCTGAATATATTTGCTGGACCGGGAATGACTGCAGAGGCTTAAAATGTCAAACGCATCTCTTGACTTAAGATCGCCTCCTGACTTCACTTTGAACTTTCTGTTCAGTTTTTTTCTAATCTACCATAATGAATGATAATGTTATTTTAGTTTTTCTAGTACTGCCTACTGATTTTGAATTGTCTACTTTGCATGGTGTCAGTAGTTCATGGTTACACATTTGTATTTACTTTATAATTGTGCTTGATGCACTTAAACCTTACAGAGAGTTAAAGAGGAATTCCTTTTGATACTTCTCCTACCACTAGCTTCTGAGTTTGTCTCTTGTTGTTCATGACATCATGGCATGTGAGGGATAAGAAAATGTATCCTTATAAGGCTGTGATGATGTGTTAAATGAAAGAAAAGCACAAGCTGGAACATGCAGACAGGTAAAGGTCGATTATTTCATTATATCGATTTAACAAATTTCCTTAAAACAAGCAAAAGGATTGCCAAAAGACAACAAGGAAACAACTGTGAGAGTGAAGGCAGTGCGCAAAATGTGAATCTTTCCTTCACAACACCACCCGCACGCGTCAGTGCGTCTCAGGTTCTCCCGAACTCCACCACTCTGTTATTTTTCATAACGAACATCCCATAAATAATTAATGTGTGCGAAACCTCAACCTGACCAGCATCCCACCTGTTGACGATCGGCTGTTTTTACCTCCAACTTTATATACGTATCACCATTGCTTAAAAAAAAAAAAGCCTTTTAGTTATCATTATCCCACCATCTTATAGATCAAATACATGCACCCTATTTCAGAAAAAGCAAAATTAATGTATCTCATTTGAAGACCCGAATTATCCCTCTAAAATGCAAAGTGAGACAACCTACCGTCTACTGAAGTTCTCACATTAAACAGCTCTATTGATCTATGAAGATACACTGAAGATTAAAAGCTGTGCACCATTTAAACGCAAATGTTATGCAAACTTATCTCAAAGCATCTTATTCGGTTGTGGATTTCCTCGTTATCCACATTTGATGGTTAACCTAGGCTATTTGCATAACACACACAAATGCCTTAAAAGTAAAAACAAAAGTTCTATAAAAAGTCTATAAAATCCTTATCTGTATCTTTGTTGTGAAGAATACATGCACAGCTTATCGGTTACAATCTAGTTTGTGGTTATTATGAAGGAAGATCAAGGGACGTTTGAATGAAAGAATATTTCAGTAGGCCTACTGATTGTGGCCTCAACAAATTTAATATATTTTTTAAAAACCTGCTACGGAATTGCGATGATTTGCTTTTTATTGCCAGTAGCCTAATTTTGCTGTTTTATTTCTATATGCCTTCTAAGTGTTTACTGAAACTTGATCCCATTTCACCGCAACACGAACTCGCTGCAGATGGCTGTCTGATCATATTCTGATACCGTTCAACCTGCATAAATTCTGTTAATAATTTAACACAGCATCCTCATTATATTTCCCTATTCCCTGCCTTCATGAGGCGAGCAAAGGGGCACGGATTGTGATTGGCTAACAACAGTGGGTGGGGGACAGAGCAGTGACAGGTAGCAAACAGGTAGGTTCATAAATAATTTCCAAGTAGGCTATTTTGCTTCTTCTTCTTTTTTCTCCTTTTTTTTTTTACCGCGCCCTTTTGTCCTACAGGCTTTTGAAAAACTGTAGATGAGCCGCAAAGAGGTTGGAAAGAGAGAGAGAGAGAGACAGAAAGAAACCTAGCTACTTCAGCTTGAGTCACGCAGCAGGACAGGTTGCCAGGGCCAGTGTGAGCGTGGTGCGTGCGTTCACGTGCACGTGCGTGTGTTTGTTTGAGTTGATGGAGAAAGAGAAAGAGAAAGAAAGGAGAAAGAAAAAAGTAGAGAGGAGGAGGTGTACCGACGTGTGTGTGTAAGTCTTTCTTTAGCTGAGAAAGTGTGTTCTCTCTAGAGTCAGGTCCTCGGGGACACGATGGGGACCCGCGAGCGCTCACCAGCTGACAGCGCGTGCTTCATTGAGGCCATCCAACACCTCGGCCCACGAGCCTGCCAACAATAGCCTGAAATTAATGCACACTCCCTATTACCAAATCCGGGATTCACCAAATGGACGACATGGCAACAGTTCAAGAAAAAAAAAACTTTCATCGAATAGATGAGAATATTGTTGCAAGAAAACGACATTGAGTTAGGCCTATTATTTAATGCAGCGTTTCTCTACATCGAAGTTGCCACAAACAGTGAAGTTTAAAACACTTAATCACAGGACAGTAGGCCAGGAGGCGCGCGATACAAATGCAGCATATGGCGAGCGAGCGCGTGTTGGACACGTTTCACGTCGCTGTTAGTTTACGATAAATTAAATAGAGGAGATCAAGTGTTGAAAGTAAATTTACCTTAATGGAAAATGCCCATTGTTTGTGGTTTGAAGTACAGATATTTCCCTCACTTTACTTTGGTAGTCAAACAGTAAGCCTAAATTTTAGCATCCCCTAAACCTCACTTAAGAAGGCACTGTTAGGTTACTGTGGATGGAAATTAAGCCAATAATTTCATTAAATGCTATATGCAATTTCTAAACTAAAGGCAATAAACATTTGTATCACCTTTATGTTTTATTAATATATTATCAAAAGCATTATAGTAGTAGGAGTAGTAACAGCAGCAGTAGCAGCAGTAATAATAATAATAATAATAGTATGGTTAGGGCCTGTTGTTGTAACAAGCTCTAATAGTTCTACTTGGCTTCTTATACCAACCATCACAATCATTCTATTATTATTACTATTAGGCTATTATAATAATAATAATAAGATTTAGATGGAAATATACAAACTAAATGCATTTTAGAGAGTTATTGCAGTTATCTAAGAAAGGTGCATGGAAACAACAGAGACAAAGAAACATTTTCGTTTGCTTTTTTTATTCCCAAATTCAAATGAACATAACAATAAATGGCAAAAATTTAACTATGAGTTATAAAAAGCAAATCAAATGAAAAATTTCAGCAATAAATACATGTCAATTAATCTCATCCAGTGAAAGCAAAAGACACACAAGTTCATCTGAAGATACAAAAGCAAATACAAAAGAAGGCAGCAATGATGGCTACATTAAATAGGCTATTTGCATGGAATTGGCAGTACTACACTAGCAAACAAAGCAAAACAATATTGTTTATGGTTTGAAAACAAAAGTCGCATTTCTCAAGCCTCTGGCTCGTATATTATTAAAGTGCACATCATGAACTTTTGAAGTTGCAAAACAAAATACATTATACGAATTAACAAATAAAAACATAATAACAAAAATCATATTATAGCTACAAAACTTATTTTTACATTATCAAATATAAGAAATTATCCGTAAAGTTATGATTTTGTGGAAGACAGGTTTTTGGTTGGAGTGACGTGGGAGATACCCATGGCAGTGCTGCATGCGACATGGCAGAGGGGTCTTCAAGCCACGTCTCCATGGAAACCAGAAATTTTAGGCTATACATCTATTGGCAGAACCGAATTAGGCCTATCTCACATTTTTAAAAAAATCATCTTTAGACTATGCAACAAGTTGACAAAGTAGAATTATTGTTAAAAATTGAACATGACTTTTCTGAAGCAGGAAACGTTTCTATCCTCTTAAAAATGCGTTTTGTTACTAACAGATAAACGTATGATTGACACGGTTTATGGACATTATTTTGTTGCAGGCTATAGTGAATCTTTAATATAGTCTGTTATTTTTAAATCACTCAGAAAGAAACGGCGTGATGACGGTGTCTGGGTAGCTTGAGTTCTGAGAGGTCATCTTCTTCACTTGAGTGGAGCTCCATCGCTATTTCATCGGAGTCACTGAAATGGGAGTGCGGGGAAAACTCCCCGTCGCTCCGTGGAGACTCCTTCCTGCCACCTGTGACCAGTGCGAGCGAACTGCCAGCCCGAGTGGATGAAGAAGGAGAGGGCGAACGCATAGCTTCTTCTACCAGGGCGGAAAACGAACTATCGTCGAAGGACGAGCGGAAAGGCATCCCGCCTATGTGGGCAGGTAAGCTGCCACCTGAGACGGGCGCCGCCGCCGCTGTCCTCCCGGGTGTAGGGGACGGGGACGCCTTGTCCTTCGCCCCGTCAAAATTAACGGTGGATGAAAGCGTAATGCCGGACTTTGGCGAGCTGTTATTGTTGGAGACGTGGTTGTCGCTGGAGGAGACCGGGCCTTCGAGCAGCTCGGCCAGAGCGTTGATGTAAATCTGCGCCATCTGTAAAGTTTCATATTTGGACAGCTTCTTGTCGTTGTCAAACGCCGGGATTACGCTGCGCAGCTCGTCAAACGCGTGGTTAAGTCCGTGCATCCTCCTCCTCTCCCGCGCGTTGGCGGCCACGCGCCTCTGCTTCTGGACCCCGCCGACGGGTTTGCTGGAAGGGGCTCTCTGTCTCGTGGACGTGTCCTCCTCGCACCCGGTGACCGTGCCTTTAAGACGGCACAGGTCCCTGACTTTGAGCGAAGAAGAGGAGGGGCTCTTGGCAGTTTTTCTGTAGCAGGGAGGGCTGGGGTGGCCCGAAGACTCCGGGGAGCCACTCTCTGAAAAAAGAAAACAAAAAATTCAGCCTTCTGAACATTGTCTGGTTTGACAACAACCTGTAATAAATGCCTAGATTCTTATGACTGTTTTTAGCCGTTAATCAAGCGCACATATTTTAACTGCACGAAATAAACTTTGCAGAAATGTAGCCTGGTGCTTCTTTGAGACCTTAAGTGCAAGCAAGGGGCCTTAATGACCACTGCAAATCCCAGTTGCCTGTTGCATGTGATGTTGCATTGTAGGTGATTTTACTTTGAAAGGCTGTCCCAAAATGGAATTTATAAGCGGCGTTTCTCACCTTGGTAGGAGCCGGTGCTCGGGCAGGGCGAGTGCCGCAGGTAGTCAGGTGTAATGGCGTGTGCCTCGCAGGTGCCAGAAGGCTGCACCAGAGCCAGCCAGGCGCGTGGGTCACTGCCGCCGTCCACGAGCGTCAGCCCAGGATCGTAGCGGGACTCCTCGAGCTGGTCCACCCCTCTCGGGCTCTGCTGCCGTGAGTCGAGGATTGACACCTCCCGCGTGCCTTTGCTCCAATCTTCCACACATCGGACATCCATGTTTCCAAAAAGAACCCCAAAATCTAAGTAGAGTAAAACAGACTAATAATATCAGTGGGAAAGTTATTTGGAGGCAAGCACTGGTGCTGTCGCACTGTGTGAATATGACTGTCGCGTGCGGGACTCCTTCTCTGGTGTCTCAAGGAGCGGCGTCGATTTAAAAAGCGGCACGCGTCCGGGAGCCCCCCTCCTCGCGTTGGTCGCGTGTTGACGTCCAATGAGAAGTCTCGGTAAAGCCCGAGAGAGGAGATTATGGACCCCCGAAGCCGGACTGTTTATGATAACGTTACAATTTAAGGAGTGTTTAACGCAAGGGAGGTAAGAGGAACCTCCCACAGGACGCACGTGCACGGGGAGGTGGCGGTTTTAGGTAAGGAGTGTGGACACGACAGAGGAAGGGGGAAGGAAAGACTGAAAAGGGTTAATTTGCCATCGTCAACTGTCTAACTGTCATCATCGGTGTAAAGGCTGCACTTAAGTTTATATCCCACGGACAGTGAAGCCTGGTTAGTTCAACGTTTTCCACCAGAGCCCCCTAACTCCAAAGTTCAAGGCAACACAGACTTGTTGCAACACACATAAATCTATCAAGACTACTAAAAGAACAGAATTTAACAAAATATTTTCCCCAAATCAACTCAAAGTATGGGGCTCTATTTCTGGCCTATAGGCACAACACTTTTTTACAACAATTAACAAAGTGGGCTATGTGCATTTCAGCCTTTGGCAATGATACAAATGCAGTGAATGGGCTACGTTGTAGGGCCATTAACCAAGTTGAGGGAGCCTGATAAAAAACGAACTTTGGGCTCAGTAAAACTTGACCAGAAGTCAGCTGGGGGGAAAGGACGGCAAAAAAGGAGAAAAAAAATAAAGAAAACTTTGCAGCTCGCGCGTTCATTGTCAATTCATTCATTCTAAGATCATCTCCAGTTTCCATTTTTGCTTTGTAGCGGGTCAAAAACCTTTTGATCCAGCTTTCAGAAACGCCCTGTCGGTAAAAAAAAAAAGGCTTCACAGGGAACGGAAACATGAGCAGGGGCCTCAGCGCTCAACACTGTTTCAATACTGACACGAGCTATAGCTAGGCCTATGCGGTGCGCGGTTGCAACTGTAAGCAGTGAGGAGAAAGTGCACACACACGCAAACACGCAGAAAAATGCAAACACGCATGCAGACAGAACACAATGTGTAGGCCTACTTAAGCTGTAACAATTTAGGCTACTATATATTAATTCATAGAGTTTTATGAAGAGCTGTGAACACTCACCTTTGGACAAGCTATTTAGTGCAAGTGGTTCTCAAAGTGGGGACTCCCAGGGGTCCTCGGGAGGGCTGCAGGGGGTCTCCAGCAGAAATGGAATAATTTATTTTCACTGTAATTCCATTCATAAGTGACACAATGACAGAATATATTGTTTTGGTCATGGGTTTCATACACGTTCTGTAATAAAACATTTAAAAGCAAAAATCCTATCAGAGGGGCTACCCTGGGACAGAATCTTATCAATCTGCTCTAATTTGTGTCAGTTTAGGGGTCCTTGATGTGAAAAAGTTTGAGAACAACTGATTTAGGGAACCTGTATTCTACTGATCAAAGCACCCATGCTTAAGGAGATAAAAACCTTAGGCCTAACCTGGCAAATGAACAATGGGCTAATTGCTGGGTGGGAAGTGTCTATTTAACTTAATTACTACCGTCGATTTAAGATAATATAGCCTCAGACCGTAACAGTAGCCAAATGTATGAGGTCTACCCCTACCCAGTCCCAGTTTTGTCAGCAACATTAAATGACCTTATCACAAAATTCGATTATTAAGCAGTAAGCTGCGAACCCATCAACTATAAAAATTAGCTATTAAGAATGGTAAGAAGTATGGGTGTGGGTCAACTCTCTGAGAAGACGAGACTCCTAAAACTATAGGGGCTGGAAATTGTGGGAAAACACAATTTGTGGGAAGAAATCCCATAATTTCAGAGATAAACCGACATCAATCTTTTCTATTTTTTATTCATGTATTCATCATGGGGACGTCTTGCGGGTAGAGGTCTGGCGCCGACCGTTCGCCCCCTCTTCCCACCTACAAGCCCCCCATCCAACGGGCCGGGCCGGGCTCCTGAAGCTACCGACAGGTTGGATATTGTAGCTGGCGATTATTAAAGTGCTGCGGCCACAATGGAGACTCTATGTTCCATTGGTCACGCCTGGGGGGCTCCTCGAGGGAGAGAAGGGGGGCTCCCATTCCAGTGCGCGAGAAGAGTCTGCGTGCTGCCGCTTCTCATTCCCATCTCCCGGGAGACCGGGGCGCGACGGGCACGAGACTGGAGTGAGGGGACCTGGACAGGGATTTCAAAACTTAACTGTAGCCCTCCTAAATTCACTAAATCCATGATATTCTTTTGACGAAGTGCCAAAATAGAAATGTAGCTCTAAAATTAGCGACAAGGGAACTTTTAATTGTCTCCAAACTTTTTGATTTTCCCATACAAATAGCAGGCAAAATCAAGATCACAGAATTAGCCTAAAGAAGTGCTTAATTTAGAAAGTGGTGGAAAGTAACTATAAATGTAAATATTGTGGCAGAAATAAGCAATAGGTATTTAATGTTCTAAGTTATAGGCTACTCCACTGCCACACATCTTTGTGATATTTATTTGCTCTTAATAGGCTACTTCTGTACTTGTAGTAGGCTACTTATGTTAAATTATGAATGGGTTAGGCTACAGTTACTGAAGATTTAAGAGTTGCTGACTTTGATATCTCCTATGACTTGTACAATAATAAGAAAATGTCTGTAGTTTGAGACGCAGTTTGTGTTTGGTCAGTTGTGTCCAGTACAATCCAAAGCACACATCAACAACTGATAAATTAATCATAATGTTGGCAATATACCTGCCATTCATCTTGTTATGAAGCACAAACCGAATCAAAGTCTGAAAAAGAGACAGGGACAATTTTGACAATTGGAAAAGCTAAATAGTGCCACTCTATGGTTAAAATGGAGAACTACAATGTAGTGCTCCATTGAACTTGACAGCAGTCGTCCTCAGCAGTGTGCCTATCCAGCTGTTAACAGCAGTATACAAGCCTTTGAAGTTGAAGTGAACCTATTTGAAGTAAAAAGACACAAAAGCTTAGCTCAGGCTTGATCTTAAAATCTATTCCACACATACAATCAACTCACATCATACAAACCCATTTAAAAATGTTATGGTTGGCATTTGCATTTCCTCCCTAACTTTCACATGGTGTTCCTGCCTTAAACCCATTAGGTTTAATAATTTTCAGCTACAGGAAATCCCTTTTCATCCATTATTAAATTACACCCTGCTTGTGGCAATCAATTTTACTATTGGTTCTGGATCAATTGGCTCTTTGAAAATTAAAAAGGTCAAAATGACACTGACCTGCAAGATATCAACCCAGGCAACCAGGTTAGTCTTGACACTTGATTTTTTGTTTAATGTGTCATCATTCTGGATTCTGCTGACTTCACATAAACAAATGAGATGTCCTTTCTTGCCACATGATATTTGTTGATACAATAATGACAATAAAAGAAAAGAGATTGAGGGAGAGAATCTATAGGCTACTAAAACCCTGCAGTTTGAGTGTCTGTCTTGAAGGAAGCATGACTGACTACTTACCAGGATTCTAGGTCAACTTACCAGTAAGATGTGACTTGTGTAGAATTAGAAACCATTTCTTCTAGTAGAGAAGATAAGCCGCATACACTAAAAACAAAAACGCTGTGGAGAAGAGAATCTTTGCCATTCTGTCTAGAAAAGGAAGATCCACTGGGGCTTTTCACAGTATTCCTTTGTGGTTGTTGTGCCTCTGTTCACCAAAAGAAATCAGCTGTGACACTTGTTATGTGGAAGGTGCTTTTAGTATGAAAAGTTGGTCATTAGGTAAGGTGCTGAGTTTCAGGGAATTTACAGATGTCAGTGCTGTGTTTTGAGGGTTGAGACCCTAGATTACACAGAATCATGAAAAGTAATTATTCACGATTTGTTGCTAAATAAGATGTACATTATGTTTCTGAAATGCACCACCTTTCATATATGTCTGTCTAGATAAGCAAAAACAACAAATACCATTCCACTGTAGAAAACCTGTTTATTAGACAAATTATACACAGAAAGCTTTGCCACTTGTAACAGAGGCCCCAGTTTGTTCAGTTTTTGAATAATATGCAACACATACAACAAAATAGGCCTATATTAAATACTGTACATCATAAATTTTTGAAAATTATCAAGTAAATCCTGTAGTTCTATGTATGAAATTAAAAATGTTAACATATAGCGCAAGAGCAAGTTTGAGCATGCTTTCTTTTTAATCAACTTGCCACTTTTTGTTATTTAGCCAGCAAATAATAAAATGAACTCAGGATGACATGAGAAAAGCAGAGTTTGTGTTCATGTGTTTATGTTGACCATGGGCAGAACAAGGGAAAACCCAAATGCAGCAATGTGCCTGCTAAACTCAACACGAAAGCTCATCATGATATACTCTTTTCTTTTTGTTAAACAAAAATAGCATCAACATGTAAAATATACATTTTTTATAATGTCTTTCATTTATACTAAATAAAACCTTTTAAATGTCTGTGTCCTATTTGTCATTCAATAGCCATACTGTAGCCTAATATAAGAAAAGAATGCCTAAGAATGCTTGCTTCAAAACACTGTGGCTTGACTGAGTTTTCTACGCACAACATTTTGCAGTTTTAGTTCTTAAAGATAACAAACTGAAAACTTGTTCTAAACAACTAACATTATCAATTATTAATACAGTGTTAGTGAAAAAGATTTGGTTCCATTTTACCACCCCACCCCCTAATCCACAAAATATTCCTTTAATGCTCTTACCGTTCCCCTTCACCACCCCAAAATGCACCTTAATGGTCTCACTTTAATTAATTGGCACTTTAAAAAAAACAAGTTATATAAACAGTACCCTTAACATTACGTATATGAAATAGAAGTATATTTCAGACTCATCTCTCACAAGAGGCAGCCATTGGGACCCAATGGCTGTTGACTCTTCATGACATTCCAATGACCCTAAAGTAAAACCACTGATTTGCTGCGCTAAAATGTATCCAGTACAAGGTGATATTTTGGATTTGACTGCAAGTTGGGAGGGTACAGCTAGCTAGTTGACATATAAGGCCTGTATTGAAGATGCTGTTGCAATGGCTTCTCCTCAACACAAAATAAACTCCATTTCACCACTTGAACCTGATAAGAAGTGATTAATGAACTCGGACATGACACCTTACAGAATGACCTTCTAAACACCCGGGTCATGGCAGCACTAAAATTAAGCAAAACAAAGAAAAATAAAAAAGCAAAAGTTTGAATGACTTAATGATGCAAAACCAGAGACTACAGCACTCATTTAGCAGTATTTCAAAGTTTGCTGAGAGAAAAAACAAGTAGACAGCTCAGAACAATGTTATTTTTTGTACTTCCTGACCAAAACACATTCCACGCATTAAAATCTATTTTTTTTTTCAAAAACAAAATTTAATAAAAGACATATAATAAGCATAAGCTTTTTGAAGTCTTTCGGCTTGTCTTTTATGTTTTTTTCTCTTTTAGTTGTTTTTTGTATCATCCCTTTTTACTATCCCTCTGAGAGTCTGATTAGAGGATCTCACCTTGACTTGAAAAGCAGATAGCACAGTACAGGTGAGAAAAGAAAAGGTCAGATCTACATACAATCACTTACAGGTCTGTGGGCACTGGTACAGTGCAGTGGGATTGACAAAGA